GACGCCCATCAAGTTGCACAGTAGCTGATTCTGCTTCGTCTTAAAAATCAGTCTTTATTTTTTGGTTATATTTGATAAGTCGTCGTGTCTCACTGCGGAAGGGGGTTTTATCACATTCACTAAACAGATTTGTCGATGCCTATACACTCTATACACTATTGTTTGGTTATTATGAACTGGACATTGGGCACGTGTCTTAAATATTTAAAGTGATTCGGGAACTAATTTTTGCTGTCACCTTGAGGAGGTTAAATGTTTTATTTTAAACTTGATGGGAAAGTTGTCTATTCAATATTTTAATAAAATTAAGTTAAAAAAGTCCTTTGATGAAATATGTTGTTTATATTTTATGTTTTTAAATGCATCTGTTATTACTCTTTATGTCTTGTAAAGGTCCATCTCAGTAAGTTAGAATATTATCAAAAAGTTATTTTTTTAGTAAATTAATCCAGTAAGTAATTATAATTTTTTTATAGATTAATTTCTTTAAAGGATGTACTTTAAATATATGTTGAGATATTAAAAGTTTACAGCTACGGTAATTAAAAAACAATATCCATTTTCTCACAGAATCCATCAGCTAAAATTGACCTATTAGGAGTATTTTTAATACAAAAAGTACTTTTTAAATAAGTGGAACGGAATATAGAAAAATAGTGCATTTTTATAAATAAACAAAAAAGTGAAGAAAAACTGCAACGGTAAAAACAACTATTTTATTTGTGCAAAAAAAAAGACTAATGTAGAAATTTGCAAAAAAAAAAAAAAACTGCAGAAGAGATCCCTTTAACTTAGTTTTTGAAGGGAGTGGTGGTGACAGGTGTAACCCTGCTCGGCCTCCTGATACAGTAAAGTCCCACACAGGTGCAAGACTTTGCAGCAGGGTGTAATGTTTGCTGCAGCGCTGTGGCAACGTGGTGAAACCTCACTGGGGATCCAGTCCACATACGCCACCAGGGGATTCTGCCATTGGCTGCCGCCTCTGTGTATGTCACAGTCACTGGCGCGCATGCTGCAACAACAATCAACCAGCAGGCTGGGGGCCAAGGGATGGAAAGGAGCAGGACACTAGTATTTTGTTTTAGTATAAACATTTAGCGGGCTGCTCCTGTAGGGTATTGCCACTCAGCGTTGAGGCTTACAGTAAACATGAGAGCTAAATATGGGAGTAGCTTTATTTTGTGTTTCATGGACCTTTGAATTTAGGCCAGGTTATAAAAAGCACGTTTTGCAAAGGCTTGTTTGTGCAAAACGTTCCACCACACGGGTGAAGAAGTCCAAATAAGATGCATTTCAGCAAAATAAGAGCAAAGGCTTAACAATAGCATCATGTGGATTTATCTGCTCTATTTCTGCATCCTGCTGAGCTCAGTGGCCTACTTCTGTTCAAGCAACGGCACCACCTAGTGTTAGTTTTGGCACCAATTTTGAAGAATCTACACGTAGCCAATATATTCACTGTTATCTCTGGTGAAAGTTTATGAAACCTTAAAGTATTTTATTATTATTGCTGCTACATGCTCCAATGCTCAAAAGAAAAACACTGAAAAGATGTGAAAGAACTAATTATTTTAGCGCAAACTGCTCTTATTGGCATTTTCAAGTCCTATAAAATAATTGAAATAATTTTTGTTTCATCAAAGTAAAAATACAACTCTCATAAAATAAAGTCAAGCTTTGAAACTTTTTTTCAGGAGTTTGCACAGAAAATATTGCTTAATGGAAAATTATACTGTTAGGTAAATTGTATGTATTATCAAATATTTGTTGTTTCACGTACCTTTATAATGTTCTTGCCTTTTATGCTGTTATTTTTTTTGCTTCATCTTGGCATTAAGAATGTTTCTGTGCTGTTGAATTACTCTGATTCCTTCCTCAGAAGGCCTTTCTGAAGAAGAGCAGTGACAACAGCTTTCTGCAGGGTTATCGCTCAGCAGAAAGCGCTGCTTCCTTGACCCGTTAGATAGCTAGAACACCATCGCCGTGAAGATGTGCAACTTGCTCTGTTTAAACCGGTGTCTGGAACAAGATAATCTAGTGCAAGATACCTTGTGCTTTTAGTTATTGATTGCCATTGGCGCTGCAACTACGTGATGAAGTGTTTACCCCTCCCTTTAGAGTTGCAGCGTCCTTTGTGATTAGGGATCCTGAAAGCAATAAAAAGAGAGGAGCAGGCAAATGTGTTTCCAGAGCGGTAGGAGATTTATAACTGAAAACACATCTCTGTCCTCACGAGTTAACAAAAAATCTAGCTCTCTTGTTTCTCCTGTGTTTGTTTAATCTGTGTTTAGTAGGTGTCAAACCTGACATGTAGATGGATGGAAAATTATACATACAAAAGCAAATATCTGAAAATGTGACATGCATTTGTATTAAGCTTCCAAGTCGACACGTGATAGAGTAAAAACTTTCACCTGCTACATATACAAATACTTTGGAGTGTTTTTATTTTATTTTATTTTTTTATGAACTTTGCACATCCAGAGACAAATTGTTCCTCCCAAGCTGAGTCACATTAGATGGAGAGTCTGTGAACGTAGATGTTTACATTTTGCCAAAAACTCTTTGCTTCGAGTGTATTGATGTAAACACATTTTAATCTTCTTTTAATTAAAAAAAGGCTTTCTTTTTTTGAGAAAGAAATGATCCAAATGACTGTAGACCTATAATTGCTGCTGGATTTTATTTAGGGACTAAAAACCAAAGCACATCACTCTTTTCTAACTACGTGTTAAACCATGCCTCTTTCTCCTTCCACTTCACAATTAGAAATTTTCAAGGCATATTTTTTGGTTGAGAACAATAGTAGAGCAAATGTTCTTTTTAAAACATGATCAACATTAATCATGTTGTTTCTCACCGTGGTGAGCGTGTGAGTGAGTTTTTATGTCCAGACAGCAAGGACACGACTCACTGGACCGGACTGGACAGCAGCGTTCCCTTCGGGCAAAGCACGCTCTGGGGGAAAGGAAGAGACTCTTGAAACAAATGTGACATGACAAAGACTATGCAGAATCCCATGATCACTTATGTCTAACATCCTCCAGTTTTTATTTGGTCGCTAATAATAAAAGCTGTCAGTCAAATGCATGGTAAAATGATATTGTCATGATTCTGCAGTAGAACTCAGCTCTGGATCAGAAACCCACACATGTGCTGTACAAAATGAAAAAAACTGTTGATTGCCACGACAGATATTTCTTTTTATTATTTCTACAGGGAGCTCAGGAGACGCTGATCTGTGCTTGCCATAGTAACCAAAATGCTGCAGACCTCTTGACTTGTAAATCCACTCCACCAGGTGGCAACAGAAATTCAGCAGTTCACCTGGATTTATTCCCCGTTTCGTTTTCTAGTGACATGGCACTGCAGACGTCGTGTTAATGCACGTCAACTTTTCAGTAAATTGATTAATACTTATGTTTTGTTGATTTTTCTTTATTTTCAGCTTTTCACTTATTAAGTTGCACCTATCACATGATCACACATGGTATGTTAAATTGAAAATATAGGAAGTTTTTCTTTGGATTTTCAGCCAGAAACATCAGAGAATTAAAGAATGAAATTAATGGTGACTTGTGGGAATCTATCTCTATTACCTGAAGTTGCTTCTGTGGTGGGCAATATTTTATTCCCTTGCAGGATCTCTGATCATTTCAGATCCCTGGACATTAATTGCAAACATGCTGTACGTATGGCACTATTCATGCAGAAGTTGCCACTGGATTGCATATTTATCAGAGATAAATAAGCAGATCTAAAATACTCTCAAATGATAAAACGTGTTGAATTGTGAAATTTTCTACTGCTACATTTAGTGTTATAATACTTGTGTGGTACAGTGTTACAACTGCATGTAGTAGCGTTATAAAAAAATCTCCCGTCGAGTTTTGCTATGATTGAATATTTAAATATACAATATTTATCAGACACTCTTTTTACTTAACTTCATCATAGGATTCAAGTGCTTGTCTTGTGCTGTGCTCTTCAGCAGATGGTCAGCACTGTGTCACCCCCCCTCCCTCCATAGGGCACGACTTGTTTCATGTAGAGTAGCAGCTTGGCAGACAGCTGGGAGGAGTCTAGACAGAAGCCTTTCAGCTGGAACTTCAAAAACCAACGCTGACTTTGCTCGGAGCTCCTCTGTACTTCTTGTAGGCTTTGGGCCGGGTCAGTCAGCTTGTTAAGATGGGGGAGGGGGGAAACATCTGCACCATCTGGATGTTTGTCAAATGCCTCTTGCAGAGTAGATTGCATCTGTTGGGAGTAGCTTGCTGATGTTTGCTGAAAGACTGCTGACATTTTGTGATATAATCATAACAGCTCTTTGAAAGCAGCTGTGGTACCATTGAATTCTCTGCAGCGTTAATGTCCCTGCTGTCCCAGACAGGCATCTGCAGTGCTATCAACCTTCAGTGGACAGGTCTCATAAGAGTCTGCAGAGATTGAGCCTTGAGTCATAAAGACAATCAAGGTATCATAAGAGAGAAAAAGACAACAGAAATACGCATGATTGCTTTGATGAATGTGGGGTGAATAATACATTCTGGCTCAACTACTTGGATGAAAGGGAAATAGTAAATAACACGTCTTTTTGATATATTTAATAATTATTATTTTATTTTTTACTGTTTTTAGTTCTATTGTATCTGTGTTTGGAATTAAAATGTGTTTGATGATATGAAACATGGTATAAAAAATAAAAATGGAAGAAATATGTGGAAAGTCTAATATTTTTTCACAGCATGGTATTGCAGTAAAAGTATAAAGTTAAAGAAATAAGCATCTCATTGGGGATTTAATCGAAAACATTTTTTTAACATGGATTGTTTTTTTCTGAATAAATGTACTTGAAATAAAGTTTGATTTTTTTATGCAACTGTAATTGGAGATACATTTATTTTAAGGCTTTTTACAAATTTTCATCAAATGTGCAAATAAAAGTAGATATATTGGTGTTAATGTTCCCTTTACACAAACACATCAAGACAAAAAGAAGCTATTGCAAAGGAAGCTTTATTGCCAGTGACATAAAGAGTTCACACATTATTGTATTTTTCCAGATCTGGGTTTTTACAGCTTAACTCTGCTTCTCAAAGTTGCTGCCTCAGTTGCAGTTTCAATCTGCAGCCAGAAGTATCACCTCAACACAAAGGCCAAATGACAAAGCTCAGATGTATTTAGTTTCCAAACTGAGGCCGAACAACGTAGCCGTCACAGACTTGTGACTCTCCGCTGGTCAATGTCATGGCATATTTCCTAATAAACGGAACAACACGTCCATAAAGCCTCAGGCATGGCTTTCTACAGGGATACAGTCACAGATAAAACAATGGCACTTATCACAGCTGAGAAAAAGAACTGCACACAAAACTTGCTGAAAAGATTCTTGTTTTTTTTTTACATTTTTTTTGTTTTTCACCATTTAGGATATTGGATAAAGGAGATGGCCTTCTGAAGTAAACCACTGGACAACAGCACATAAAGACAGTAGAACAAAAAGCCACTCGGTAAAAAGAACTACTCGGGCTGTGGGTGATTATCGCTTTTTGAAAAAATATTTAAATGGAAGATCTGATTTTATGTATACATTTGCATCTCAATAAATTTAAATATAATCAGTTGTCTGATTTATTCAGTATTTCATTCCGACAGTGTAGTATTTTTTATACAACTTTAAACCCAGAAACATTTTACTTCTTGTTAATCTATTGGTGGTTGTTCTTGATTTCACTGACTCCAGCTGCAGACTTCACCTTATGAGTTGTCCCCAATCTCTTAAATGACCTTCTCAACAAACTCAATGATTCCAGTTGTCATTGTTGCTTGCACAAAATGTTTTCCTTCCACTCAACTTTCCTTCACGATGTTGGTATTTAGCAGTCTTTGAACAGACAGCTTATTTAGCAATGATCACTTGTGACTTACTGGATAATTCAGCCTTCTCCACCACAATTCTCTATGCCGTGACATAGCAGTAACGTAGCATATCAGGTTATATTTTATGTTTTGGAGTAGATACCTTCATATCTTTAGCCATGAAAATTTGAGTGAATGAAGAACACATTGATAATATTGGAGTTTCTGTTTTGAATCGGATAAAAAAAGGGTAATTTCTGACAATATTCTAACAAACTGAGATGCACCTGTAAGCATACTGAGTCGAAACAAATAAGATTTCATATTGCACTTTCCATCAACTCCCAGCAATGGCAGTAATCTGAGCACAGCAGTGCCAGATAAGGCAACACTAGACCTCAGAACAATGATTGTTGCAACAAAAAAGGCCTCTTCAGAAGCTTCTATAAAGTGAATGGTGTAAGCAGGACTTTATATTTAAAATATTTCAGATGAATATTCACACATGACACACCTTTTGATTATCAGAAATAATTTTTGCCTCCAAACAACAGAAACAGAGCTTTGATACTTAATCACATCTGAAACAAGGGGTTTAGAAAGGATAACTATTGGCTTGTACCACTGTTAGTCCATTAATCTGCACCGCCCACAAGCAGGATTAACAGTCCGCTTACTCTTATTTACACTGATAATTTCTGGAGTGCAAAGACTAACACTAAATACTATATTCTTTGGTTCAAAATTCAACAATTACAGTGAAGTTCTGAGTTTAGAATCTTTCTACATTATAAAATCTGCAATAGACCTTTAGTTTTTATTACATGGGCATCAATTTATATTCTACCACTAAATAATCTAATTTCTAGGGATAGCACTCTATGAGGAAATATTGATTTGAATAAAATAAAAATACTGCATGAATCTCTTAATATGTATCTGCTGTTACATACACATTCACAATGTGGAATCACAGGAAACACACCTTAGTTATACACAGCGATTTAACAGCCATGTTAGATAAAACATCCCACATCATCAGACGTTTAAGACTTGCACCTGTCTTTGTGTCAGTCATGCAAACAAATAAAAATAAATATCTATCAGTAGAAGTACAAAAATATTCACCACTACAACCATACACACACATTTATCTTATACATATTAAGATATACAAGTTCAAACTCTATGGTTACCCACAGTTTGAATAATAACTAGAGGGACACACCAAATTATGCAAAATAAGCTGAAGACACATTGTTAGGGGGAAATAAAAGCTTCATAGCCGGGTTAGAAAGTTAGCACAGAGCAGCACTGAACTCAGTGTAGGCACAATTTTCATTTTATATCATCAACAACAGGCTCAAAGAAATTCAGAAAACACACGGCTGCTGAAACACAAGTGGCCAATACAAGCACACAAACCAACAGGTGGACAGGTAGACAGTACATGTTGACACTGCATAGAGTTAAGAAAAAACACAGTCCAGGCCTACTCGCAGTTGCACCGAGAGCTCACACCAACCAGATCTGATTCTAGCTGCCAGCATTCACCGACACGTCTGCGCAGCTAGGGGGCACACCGCCATCCATCCAGACGCTGAGAGAACATTTCCCTCTGCAGGTTTCAGTTGGCCTGGACTGGTTTTGGACCCACTGCAACGCCATTACAGTCGAGAATGTACTGCAGGCAACCTTGAGGTGGACGCCCAGCACCGTTCTTAGTGAGTTCGCCAGTAATCTCTCCTTTTTGGCCAGTTCCCTGTATCACGTTTAAAATGAAAAACAAAACAAAAAACAAATGCATTAGTATCAATAAATCCCTTAAAGGTGATTAACTCAGTAACAGAAAAAAAAACAACAACAAAAAATAAACAAACAAAAAATGCTCCGTTCAGTGTATTTTCATACCTGGGACGGTTGTATGGTTGTGGGTCTCTGGGGAGCATTAGCTTCTCTCTCAGCTAACTGGTTCATTTTTGCCAACACTAAGTCTGCAATGAGCTGCCGGTCTTCAGCCTGGTGTTCTCCAACCAGCGGCATGGAGGAACCAACCACCTGCCCCACATTGAAGATGGTTACGGCAGAGAAATATCACAGAACAATGCAATATAATTATTGAAGCAGTAAGCAGTTATAAGCAGTTTATTAGATATCAAATAAGCTAATAAAGTGTTTAGTTTATTTAAACAGTTAAGTGTCTTCTGAAAGAATAATCCATTTGGAAGTTTCAGGTTTTGATTTGATGTCCATTTATGTCAGAGTTTTACCTCTGTGATATAATCTTTGCCATCTTTCCCATGGATAGCTTTAATTGCACAAATGTCCAAACCCCCAAAGATCTCGCAGCAAGTGTCCACCCATAGCTTGTACCTAAAAACAGTCAACATATGATTAAGAAGCACGGGGGAACAAATCACACAATGTGCTCCGATTATAAGCAGAAGAGATTGTCAGACGTTTAAAGGAATATTTTTTAAAAATTAAGAAACAAAGCACACATTTCAGCTTTTCTATTTCATACAATAATAGGAATGAATTACCTGTCAGTCATGGCGACCTGCTCAAGCATTGCAGAGCCTGTGTTTGTCTTCCAGTTTCCAGATATAGATGTTCTCCTGATGAATGCACAATGCAAATAAAAAAAATAAAGATTAGTTTTGTTCTGTTTGATGAGGAGTAACAACAGCTTAGTTATACCTACATGTAAGCTTTGTAGTCAGCACCAATCTTCTGGATTCTGATGTCATATTTGGAATCAATGAGAGGCTCTGTGGTGGTGTAGGTCTGAGTAAGAGCCACGACGCTGGCTATATCCTGGAACTTACTGTGGTTGTCCACTTTCACCTGTACACACAAAATGTCAAGTAAAAAAGATGTCTCTCATATTCCTATGATGATGAAGGCTTAAATAAAAAAGCGAGTGCAGTGCCTTGCAAAAGTAGTCATACTCAGGCTTGATCTGCAGAAATCCACTGCTCAGTTTGGAAAACCTGTTTACAGAACTGGTCTCAGTCACTCCTCAAACCTGAACTCTAATGAAGGGCGGCAAGAAGAAAGCCACTCTTGTGGAACGTGATAGGAAGTCCGGTTTGTATTTTCTGTCAAGCTATGTGGGGCATAACGAGTCTGTACAGCTGAAATCCAAACTGAACCTGTTGGCCCACATGCAAAACATACTGGTGGTAGTAGCATCATACAGTTTTCTGCAGGGTCAGGGAAGCTGGTCAAAAACTGACATGTGCAAGAGTGGAGGAGATAAATATTGGAGGAAGCATACAGAAAAACCTGTGGGAATGTAATAAAGACTTGAGACTGGAGTAGAAGTTCACCTTTCAGCAGGATGAGACTAAACTTACTGACAGAACTGCAAAGGAGTCGTTTAGGTCCAAAATGATCCACGTCTGGTCCTCTAGAGCTACTCTTCTGCAACTTCTGAGTGTGTCCACTTGCCAACACAACTGAGACAAATGGATGAATTCCCTTAAATGACTTTCAGCTTGGTAGGCATGGCAATGAGCCATTCATTTCATTCAGTTGTATTGAAGAAGGAATGTAAGTTTTAGGATTGAATCTAAAAGTTGCAGATAGCTCTTGAGATCAAATCATATTTATGAGTTAGAATGATCTAGTCAGATCTGAAAAGCTAAGAGAGACACCAAAACAATAAGATCTGTAACTTTGATGAAAGATGGTTATACCAAGTACTGACTTAGGTTGAAAACCAAGTCACAGTTACAATTTTGAAAGACAATCTAATGTATTTTTTTCATTTTGCTTAACAGCTGTGCACTACTTTTTACTAGTCTATTACAGAAAATACTTATAAAATACATTTATAAGTATGGTGGTTGGATTGACTTTTCCAAATAACTTCAGCAGATGTGAATACTTTTGCAAGGCAAAGTACATGTACAAGGATTAAAGCAAAAACAAGTGACATGTCACTTTACCTTTCCCATCCCAGAGTGAGCGTGTCCAATCTTTACAACAACAGGAAATGAGGGCATGCTCACCTAAATAAGAAAGACATTTACTTGGAGTTTTGTATAATTACATCACTGTCACAAGTAAAACAAGTTTGGATCTAATAGGATGCTCACCATCTCCTTATAGTTGGGATAAAAAGTCTGTTCAATGAGGGGGAACTTCTCAGGTCCCAACTTCCTGTAGGTGTTGATTAGCTGAGCAAACTGGATGTGCACACAAGTAATTAATTTGGGAAAAATTAGGAAAGGAAATTTATAAAATCTAAAAAAAATGCAACCATACAGCCCAGAATGCAGAATAGATTTTTAGCTCCACTACGTCGCTTCAGCACTTACTGCCCACGGCTTGTCGCAGAGGTTGTAGATGGATTCCAAGGAGTTAATGCTTGGAACACCCCCATACTGCAGACCGATGATCAGGTTGCGAAAATCTTCATTCTGGGTCATACTGAAGGCATGCTGGCGAATGAGAACAAAGTCTGGCTTGAAGGACCTGGAGAATGGAATAGCAACAGAAATGTGAACAAAACTGTGCCAAGGGATAATAGCAGTGTGGATGAGTCAGTCTGTGGGTGGACATAGAACAGTCAAAACAAAGAGTTTCAGTTGCACACTAGATTCATTTGGAGTTTGTTTGTCTGACCTGACAACCTTGGTGCCATTTCTGAGGACTTGCATGTTCACGCTGCATGTACCGCTGGCATGGGCAACAACATTCATCTCACTGAATTCAGCCTAAACTCAGAAAAGGGGAGAACGTAACACAGGGAGAGTAAATTTAATCCTCTTTGTGTTGCATAAGCACATGAAATGGATCTAAGTGTCTTCATTAAACATACCTGTTCCACTTTGATATCATAATCCCCGTGAACCTTCTTTCCTTTCAATAATTTCGCCCTGGTGGAGAAGAGGAGCAGAAAAAGCATTTTTTTTAATTAAACAGAACTACAGGTGTCCAGTAAATGCCAGATCCAGTGTGAACAAATCACTCGATTATGTTGACTTTGCAACAAGCAAAAAAGTGAGTCATTGCTGAATAAATGGCAATCTGCTGAGTGAACCAAAGAAGAAAAAAAGCCCCTTTGTGTTTCAGCAGTTTTCTCAAACTGCTGAAACACAGAAATGCTCACAATTTCTCACTTTATTCTGACAACCAATAAACACAAATATACTAAAAATCTCGACTTTGACAGTGCCATTCAGACCTATGAATGTGCTTTGCTCTCATTCTCATGTTCATTCTCAGGTTGTATGTTTCCAGTTGTTGTCCTCCATCCTGGTCTCAAGTCTTTTGCGGTCAATGACAGATTGTTCTTCTCAGGTCTCAGGCTCTGTATTTAGCTCCATCCATCTTCCCAACCTTGAGGTTGCATTTTTCTCCTCCAGAGTTTCCTTGAACCTCAGTGGATCTCATTTGCTTCTATGGGTTTAATATGTGTCTTCTCAAAGCAATTGTTTGCACTGGATCTAATTAAGGCATAAAGGGCTTTATGTAAATCCATGTTATGATTTTCTGATTTCATTTGTGAAAAATGTGAAAACCTCTTCACAATCACATGTTACTTTGTGCTAGTCTGTCAAATAATATCCTAATAAGGTAGACTGAAGTTTGTGGTTTTCACATTCTAAACACGTAAAAGTTAAATCAGGCTTATGCAAATAAAAAAAAAAACCTGTGACATTTCATCTGTATTCAAGATGCCAGAAAATTATTGAACTTTGCCTCACTCATAATTTATTGCTTGTGAATTTAAGAGACATTTCAGTAATGATAGAATTTGATTTATTTTAACATATGTAAGTCACTTTTGAAAGCATCTCAACTCCAATGAATTTCACTGAATTTTATTTGCAAGAAAACTGTTAATATGCAGAGGGAAAACCTAACAACACACGTTTTGACAAAAGAAATGGCCGATATGTAACCAAATAAGAGCTTTTCTACAAAACACTCTTTCCCATGAATTTCCTTGAGTTGCCATGGAGAATCCTTTATTTTGGCATGTTTTTATCCACAGCTCAGCCCTTAAACTAACAGCATATACTGCAGTGGTACATTTTGTACTGTGTGGTGACAGCTCAACCCAGAAGAAATCCGATAAACATACATACATGCAGTATTTTTCAATATACTTTAAAATCAATTCCATCCTTTTCCTCATTAGTCTGTGTTGCTCTGCTGTTGCATTTCCTGCTGCTGCTGCTTGTTTATCAAGGGAAAACAACTGAATAATTCTGTCACAGCCCATTTAGAGCATGGGAAGAAAAATAGGTATTAAAACATGAATTACAGCTCCCGCACATGAAAAGCTGAAAAGCATCAACATTTGTAATTCAATATACAGTGAGAAAAACATCAGCAGCGACCAGAAAAGGGCCACAAAGAAAACAAGCATATGATTTCCTCGCTGCTATCTAAATAGTAATCTTTCCCAGCATGAGGCTGAGTAAGATGGTGTAGCATATGGTGATTTTTTTTTTTTTCAGTATTGCAAAGCAAAAGACAACTAACAGCATGCAAATCAGAGGTAGCACATTCAACGATCCTTTAGTGCATGGATTAATATGCAGAAAGGTTTATCAGGTTCCCCACAGGAGCAAGGTCCTCCAATTTTGGAAGGACTTTGATTTAAGCTGTTAATGTTACTCCATATTTGAAACGTCATGCACAGTTGCATCTAAATATAACACTGACTGTATAAAAAGACAAATAGCATATTTCCTTTCATGTCTGATATTAAGTTAGAATAAGCTTGCTTTAGGCTGCTTAGGTTTACCAAATTTATTTGTTGTCTAATTTCAGAATAATTGGAGTGTTTTTACATTTTTTAATTCAGAAGTTTATATACATTTATTTATTTAGTGTTTGGTAGAGTAACCTTACAAAGACGACAACTTGGATAAAACATTTTAGATATCTTCTCACAAGCTTCTCAATTTGAGATTTGCCATAGAATATATATATATATATATATATACAACAAATACATTTTTGCATATCCAACGAAAACAATACAATCTAACTTAATGCTACACAGTGAGAAAAACATTGTGTCTGTTTTATATGGAATATTCAAACATCTGGTCTTAGATGCATTTAGCAAGCTCTGTTATGTCAAGAAATGAGACGATATGAAACAGTCAATCAATAAATTAGTCTCCAATTTTTCTCAAAACTAATCTAGAAAAACAACTCTCTTGATTAAATATTTCACACTGTACTGTGGCAGAATCTTTCATTCTGATTATTCACCTGAGACCTCGGCAAGCAGTAGACCTTGCTGAATTTTAATATCTAATTACTTTCACTCTCAATTCCTTCTTATGTTTGCATAAGACTAAGCTCCCAGTACAAGGTACATTTCTGCTGTTAGTCAGGTAGAAAGGTGAAATTTAAAGATCAGAACATTTGATAAATCACAAGAATCTGTCAATATCTGTTCCTTAAATGACAACATATTGAATTGCAACGAGCATCACAGCCACTAGTCTCATAAGTAACACAGTGTTTCATCTGCTGCTCTTGTCATAGGCGTAATTTATAACACAGTATTCCTGGAACTATCCAAACCTGTCTGGCTGACTGGTAGCCTCATCTAAAGCATTAGACATTGGCTGGATGACAGAATGCTTCTTCGTGGCAGCCAACCCATTTCATTTTTTTTCTCTGAACCTTGCTTATGTAAAATGTATTGCATAAGAAACTCACAGTTTAAAGACACATCTATTTAAGTAGTTTCTATTTTCTAATTTATTTTGAGTCTGCCATCAGTACGATCTTACATTTGTATCGTTTTCCCGGTGTTTGCTGCAAAATTATTACACAAGATGTGGGTGGTTTTGCTTTTTGACCTCCTTTTCCTATTCATAGAGGCCCTAAGTGTCTGTGGATGAACCGATGACTGATCCAGCTCTCTTGATCTACTTATTAATGCTGTATTTATCATCTAAAGACCACATGTTGTTGTCTCACCAGCAACATAGGAAAACATTGCAGCCAAGATACCTTATTGGAAAAAAAAATCCTAAAAGGAATAAATTCAAGAAGTAGTCTACTATTACATCATTAGTACATTATTCAATGTTCTTATTTCCTTTTCCATACAAACTCTGTCACTTCTTTAAATAAATTCCATATGTTTTCTTAATTTCTTCTGCCTAAACAAATATTGGCAATATGTTCAATATTAATTGTTACAACTACATTAGTAACAATTCACTGTTTCTGTCAGTTTGACCAAATTTAACCAACTGTTCCCATTAACTTACAGTACTTTGCTATAATTTTCTTAATTTCTGAACCGTTACTACCTACCGTTCTCTCAAAGTATAGGAAGCAAGCAGGGTCCTTTTGGTTTTAATTTCTGGCAGGACAAACAAAAACGTCAAAGTACAGCTAGTCGCATAGATCATAAATCCCAGACTCAAGATGTGCAGCAACGCTGAGAACATGAGAAGCCTGCCAAAACCATAAGAAAATAAAAAGCTGTTTCATCCTGCCAGGGCTTGCCAAAAGCTCAGTACATTAGAACCACTTTCCGTCCTGCCAATAGGAGCACTAAAATACTAAATTGGTTATCTTTTTAAGCATCAATAATCTTCTAATGTTAATCCTTTTTAGCTGTATTCGGTGTTGTTTTCTTTTCATACTCAAAAAATACTACTTCAAATTGTTTTGTTACATTATCTAAACACTGTAGGAACAACAAATTTTGTCTGCCAAGTTGAATCAGAACTACTGGGTGAAAGGTCTTGTAAAAACAACCCAAAGAAGCCAAACCAAGTCAAACACCTCTGCGTGGTGCTGCTGAGCTGTCATTAAAAATAGATGCAGCTCTCAGACAGAGGAAACCCTGTAAATTAATTATTTTAGCACATCTCCTACGTGACGGCGCATTGATACACATTAAGGAAGATAAAGGGCTTTGAGCACCAGAGACTGGTACAATAAGAACAAAAACAATGTCAGAGCAAAAAATTGCTCACAGAAACTGGTTCAGAGCAGATTTGGATAAAAACCAACAGCGAGAATGAGGTCACACAGAAATCTTACTTGACATGATCTGCATCCGTTTGCATACTGATATATGAGTACATTTGAGCGCCACATTGTGAAGCCTTCCTTCTTCACAAAAAATAACTTCACTTTTTTAAAAGCAACAAATACACATGGCTGACATCCATCCTGCAGATAAGAGTCTGAACTAATCGTTGCAGATGAATGTTTCCTACATCATTATGTCATAATTTCCTCACTACTAATGCATTCATCTATCAATATCCTGCTGAAGTAGTCTTCAGAAAATGGACACACTGTGGTGAAAAGGGATCATGAACATGGTGAACAACAATAGTCAGGGTGCTCAGTTGAGACTAAGAGATTCAAAGCATACCAAGAAAATAATCCCAAACAATTTCACCACCACAGATTTAAACTGTGGATATAGAGCAGGATGGATTATTTATGTTTATGCCAAATTTCAGCACTAACATCTAAATGTTGCAGCTGAATTCAAGACTCGTAGAAACAGACAAACTTTTTCCAATCTTTTGTGATCTTGTTTTAGCAAGCCTTTGTAAATTACACCCGGTAATGGTTTCAAGCTGCTGTAGCCCATTTGAATCAAAATCTGGCATTCAATCAGCTACTGATGCCTTTCTATCATCTTGCCCATTCTCGTCTGAACTGCGACATAAAACTTTATTCATCTGCTCAATTGTCACTCACAATATAGTTTCTCTTTTTTTATCCATTTTTGTAAATATAGGGGATTGGTGCATGCAAAAACCTCAGCAGAAAGCATAATTTAATGGTCAAAGTCCATTAAATCTTCTTTTTTTCCCCATTTTTATGATTTGTTTTAACTTCACCAAATCATCTTCACCACATCTTATGCATTGAGTTCCCGCAATGTGATTGGTTGAGGATTAGAGTCAAACTTAAGTCTCAGCAAATCTTCTGTTTTTTATTTAAATTAAACAATGAGGCAAATATTTCAGCACAAACATAAAGAGGAAAAATTAGCTCTGATCTGATACAAATGAAGAGTCACCATGAAAGAATACAATCACCATGTATTAAAATTGCATAGTAATACTGCATACAGCTAGCAGAAAAATACTCCCTTTATTGATTTTGAGTCCATCAAGCCGACAATGATGTTTGTTTATCCTATCTCTGAGCAAGATCCCCCTGGACCCTGGACACCATTAGGCTGAAATAATTAAGGTTCCCCCAGCTTCTTCATATTAATGGCATGAAGGTCTACTCTTGGAACAGGACAGGAAACAGATACAACAACGATCTAACGTTCCTTCTGCTTCTTTCTATTTTACACTGTTGTTGTCCAATAAATCAGGGGTTGCAATGTCTTACAATTTAGCATGTCCTTTAATTGTGCATGTGCAATTGGTGAGCAGGGGGGAAACCCCATTGATTGAGGGAAAACGCTGCAGTGCTTTGAAGGGAACAAGAGGAAGAAAAAAAAGATACTTCGTTTTAGATTCAGCACAACCTGTGGCACAGCAGTTTCAACATGTGTGTAGCATACCATGTTACAAAGTAATGACATCATTAAAATGCCACATTTAACACCAGAAAATTATGTATGAGAAGAGAAAAATGCATCAAAATAGGAAAACAAATAGATGAAGGAGGGAAACTGGAATCCTCCATCTTGGTGTTATGTCATTACAGGACCATTCCTCAAAATGGAATAGTATTCAATAATTATTGAACACTAAGGATGCTAAATGATTATTGGCAGCAATTGAACACCAGTAGTTGACAATAACCGTTAATATTTACTGTGCATTTGACAGAAATACTGTTATAGTAGTTTCTAAGCTTTACAAAACTACATGATACCCAAGAGAGAGATAAAAAAAGAAAACTGACAGTAAGAATGGAGCAGCAATAACTCACAAAAATGGCTCACAATAAACTAATTAGAAATGGAGACGTATTGTCTTACCACTCCTGCTGGGGTTCATCGATCACAAGCAGAATCTTAAACTTCTTGGGTGTCGTGACTTGGGTCTGCTCCACGAGCCCTGCTGAGGCAGCTGTCTGCTTTACAACATTTGTGATGGAGCTGAAGAAGCCAGCGCCGGTCGACTGAGACGTCTGAGGCTTCCTCTCAGGAGCAGGGGAAACGGCTGGAGGTGTCGGCCCGCTTGTTGGAGACTTGGCAGGGGTGGAGGAAGCAGGTGGAGGAGGCTGAGCAGGGTCAGGCCTCTGAAGGTCTGTCATGTAGCCGTTGGGCAGGTTTGAAATGAAGGTGCTGTCCGAGAGACGCCGGCGCAGGTAATTCATGGCTGGAGCGGAGTAAACAAGAGCCGGGTGTGGAAATTTATCCTGCAGGTTTCTCCTGACTGTGAGTGTGTAGCGGATGGAGGCTGGGGTCTCTGTACAAACTCCTAACGAATGTAGTACCTCCCAGCTTTGCTGAGCATCCTCCAAGCTCTCCCTCACTGGCAGTGACGCTACAGCTTCCAGCAGCCAATCCCCTCACCCTGTGCTTTCATCAAGCATAGCACATGATGCTCCACTGTGCCTTCCTCCCGTCGTCCTCTCTCCTCTCTCTCTCTCAGCGGCATGCCTGATTTCCCTACCCCTCCCCCATTTTCTGCTTTACCGACATCATCCTTTTTTGAACCACAGCATGAAAAAAAAAAGAGGGGTTCCCAGTGGAGGTGCAAGGGGGTATCCGGGTTATGCATCACAATGGCTTCACACCTCCTACCCATGTTTGGTAGGATTCTCTGCCCACTGTCTATGAGGAGCTCTTCTGTCAGCCACAAATTCTAAAATGGCTGTTTGGACCTGTGGGCAGCACTGAAAGGGAGAAAACGTCAGCAGCAGACCCTTGAGGCACAAATGCATCCAGTAAACAATCTCTGGTGTGGTTTATCAAACCCTAAAGCTACTATTTTGTAAATATATTTGCATTCACAAAACTGGAATGCATGTGCAAGAAAAATGTAGAATGAAGTATAATGAGAGAGATGGATGTGTGGGAAATGGTTGGGAAGGAATTCACTTAATCAATAGCTTGTGGTGTCCAGAGATCCAAACAAATATTAACAAAGGCCAACACAGTTTGTCTCTAACAAGGACACTCATGAGCAGTTAAAAGCAATAAATAGATGTATACTTTTCTTACTACTTACATTTTAATCACCCAGATTAATATACAATATTTATAGTTTGAAATGAATATTTTCACCTGCTTCTCATTCTGTTTTTCATTTTGAGAGAGTGATCGTAAGTCTAAAAAGGCACATAGACTCTGTCAATATAATTGAATTACACACTCTTAAAACTCTTGTTTTAAAGCTTTTATTTATGTTAATCATGCAAAAGACAAAGGTGTTCATATTCAGGTGTTTTTTTTTTACATACACTCTACTTTGAGCTGCATTTGCCTCAGAATGCATCTTGTTTTAACTTGTACTTTGTATTTTTTGGTGATGTTATAATTGTTATTACGTATGCATGCTGTGAGTTCCTGAGGTATAAATATTTTATTCTTTTGTCTCTTTCGGAGGGTGTAGAAGCAGATTTTGAAGTTGTTGACTTGCATTTTCTTCCTCTACTCTACTCCTATATCTTCCTGCCATTTAAGCATTTCCTACCACTTCTGTAAATATAAAGTGTATAAATATAGACGTTTGTATATATTTTTGTACATAAATATATATCTAAATATATAAATGCCGAGATATTTTGAGTTTGATGGTAATTAGAGAGGTCTCTTTAGTTTGCAAGTATTGCAGATCCCAGGAATACCAAAAGCTGTTGCTTTGAGTTTACTGTGTGTGAGAGGGACACCAACTGGTTGTTTTACAGTAGTGCAGATTGCAGTCAAATTGAAGTATGATCCAGTTTATACTCCAGAAAGATCCATTCAATAGAGTATGATCCAGCAAAAAGCTCAAGTGGTGACAAAGCATCTGCATTTTAAAATCCCAGCCACTATCCTTTCTGTTCAATTTGCTGTCACAAACAACCTTTTTTGTTTTTTGTTTTCTCTCAGATAATAAATATTTTCATAACTTATAAATACACTTTAGCTTGACGGATCACATGATTGTGATTCAGGTGCGTTCATAAACATGTCTCGTCTCTTCGCCAGGGCTGGTCTTTTGTTTCGGGGCTCCGCCTCCTGTGATGGGAAAGTACGCGAAGCACAGTACAAACTATGGTTTTGTTGTGGTAAGACCAACATTATCGATTGAGTAGGTATCATTAGAAACTCGCCGTTATCCTCTTTGACATTATTTTTATTGAATTACAACACAGTGGATTGTCGCTAACGCGTCGTTCATAGTTTTTAGCTGAATGTTAACTTTTCGAGCCAACTGAGTTTGCGACTGTGCTAACATTAGTTTTGTGTGACTTGAGCTAAAGTTAGCCATTTCCTTCGTTGACGCGTGTAATTACACTTACAATTTATTTGTAGTTTTCCGACATTGTCTTTAAAAATTACTTTAACTTTGTTTCGGGATACAACTATTGATACGAAGTGTTAAAATAAACCAATTAGGGCTAAAGAACGTTTTAGCCGCTAGCTTAGTGGTTTGCGGTTGGTTAGCTGTCATGCTAGTCGTGGGTGTTTGAGTGTGTTACGACATACAATTTGCCAATGGAATATTTCTCTGAAGAAATGACTTCTGTTTAATCTATTTTGACTTAAAGCGTGTTATAACATTCTTATTTTTTTTTTCTTTTTAGGATATACGTTCGCGTTGGATGGAATAGCCTGCTAATGTCAACGTTAGCAACTAGCCTCTACATGTAAATACTGTGCACTAGAATGGACCTGTTGAACTCTCAGTTCCTGGACAAGATGAACAATAACATTGGGAGACTGCACTACGACGGTGAAGTTGCCTTTTTTATTTCTGTTTATATGACATTTTATTCCTGTTTATATGACCTCACTCTCTCGGACTTATTGCGTTCTCCTTTTGGCAAGTATTAATCAATTGCTTTTAATTAAACACAAAAGGGCGTATTGGTGCGTGGTAATTAATTGCTGCAGGTGGTGTTTCAAGTTTCTTAATGATATGCAAGACGTTTTATAACTGAATGGTTGTTATGGAATTTAGATTCAAATGTAAAAATATTTTATTCCTGAAGGTAAATAAAATGTTGTAACTCCATGTTAGTTCAAGTTTTTCGGAGAATCTCTTATAGCTTTCCGTATTACAGCAAATTTAATAAAGCCTCTGACTTAAGATACTCTGTTTTCTCTGATAAAGAGGGTTGTCAGGGTTATCCATAATTTTCCTGATTTTTATGAAGAATCACAAATAAAGTGCATACGTAGTTGCTCGGTCACTTTTGATAAATGCATGAAATGGCTGAAATTCTTGTTCACAAATAACTGGGAAATATTTTAAACTGCTAAATTCATAATTGTCTTTGTTTGTAGTTATTTGAAAACAATATGTCAATTGAAACTACGTCAGCAAAAACAAGTCTTTTAATACTGTAATTAATATAGGATAGAAGAAATGAATTAACTGCTGACTTTTTTTCCACAGATGAGTCCAGGATCCCCTCCCTGTCTACTGCTGTGTCAACCATAACTGGTCCTTCCTCACACTGCCCAAACAAACGAAAGTATGGGGACGAACAAATGGAAAACAGACTCAACTGTGATGATGACCACATGGCCAAAATGAGCAGAATGTTTGCTACTCACCTGTAAGTGCACTTAAGAGCAGAAGTCACAAAATTAAATTAAGTCTGCTGACGTTTCTTTCTGAGTTTTGATTTGCATATAGAAGTTGTAAATCAGGGAACTTGTAAATAAGATTAAAGCATAAACAATATGCAATAAACACACCCTCTAAAATGTCAAAACCCTATAGCATTTTTGCAAAGTTTTGCAGCTTAGCTTAAAATTTCTACATTTATGTCAATGGAAGTGGAAATAAATTGAGGTAAAATTGAAACCTTTGAATACGGCCCTTATCCTAATTTGTAACGTCATTGCTTCTCTAATCCTCATATTACACCTTCTAATGTCATCTTCTAAATGTCAAGGAGATTCAGAAATATTTGTTCACACCTGTACTTTTTGTTGCATTTTAACTTCTGAAATGGGTGTTGGAGAAAGCCTACGTCTTTTTAGAGTAACCTCTGCTTGCATTATATTTTTATTATAAAGGTAAAACTGGTGACCCTTAAAGTGTCTGCAGAGATGCATCAGTGAGGTTGATTTTCCGATCTCCATTTGTTTTTCTCAGCGCTCGTCCGTCTGCTGGAGACAACCGCAATGAGCACTGGAGCCTGAGCCACAGTCCTGCGGAGCGGCCTAACCCATATGCAACCATTTCTGGCTATGCTATAGACCAGCCGCTGGCTCTGACCAAAGGCCAAAGTGGCACTGAAGTGTCGCGGCCTGTCATGAGTGGGACCGCAGAACGGCAGCAGGTGCGTCCATATTTACTGAAATGATCTGTAAATGATATTCTATGAACTGCTACAGTCCTCTTGTTGATTGAAAAATACATTTGAATTTAGTTTTAACCAGTTTTTGGAACAAACTGTTGTGTAAATTTAATTGTTTCTGTGAATTAAATTCTGGCATTAAATTAAAAAATGAATGCTTGTTAATTTTTGGTGATCAGAGCAGAAAACCTCTGCATAAAAGAAATTCTTCTGCAAAATTATCACTTCATAAAAATAACAGATGTTTGGAACCTTTATTCAAAATGTTTGTTTACACTTTAAGCTTCAATTTTTGAGTGTAGTAGTTTGGTGGTTTTTAAAGTATTTACAAAGATTCCTTGGCAGTCATAGATACCAGGCCCTGTAGTTCAAAAATATTAATACTCATCAATGTCTCCTTTAGTTTGTTGTATGAAACTCATCAGATTTTTTCATTTTCCTGTTTTCCAGAATCGACCCTCAGTTATCACATGTGCTCCAGCAAATAACCGGAATTGTAACCTCTCACACTGCCACATGAATGGCTGCACTCCTCCCCCGCCTGACAATCAGAGAAAGACCAATGGTTAGCTTTGTTTTGTTTTGTTTTTTTCGTAGTTTTTTTTTTTTGTACTTAATTCTCATAATCTTGTTAGATTGGCTAATTTAAGCAAACCATTATTTTTGAGACACCAGTGTTGAAATCCGCATTTTTCCCCTTAAGTGGAAAAATTTTTTTTATAGACATTGGACAGCAAAGTTCTGACATTTCTCAATGCAGAAAATCTCACCCTGCTTTTTCTTCAAGTTTCAGTAGAATATTAACATGAAATTAGTTTTAGGGTGAACATGAAGACTTGCTGTGTAAATCCACTGATGGTTCTCTAAACTTCCCATTGTCTCTTAAAATTAGTAGAAATGATGACAGGTTCTTTTATAACTTAGCCAAAGTTTGGTTCCTTACCTAAATTATGTTGTCTCACATTAGTGGAATTAATTTACATTTACAATTAATTAAGTTAACTTTTTTGTTGACTTGACAATATTTTCAAGTAACTATTTTAAAATGAAATCTAATAATTAATTTGTCATTCACTTTAAAATTTTTTTTTTTTACTTTGTAATTGAAGTTCTTGTCAATAATCTTGTTCTCTTTTTGTCCTCGTTTTTCCAAAATGTTATTTTTAGCTGAGACCGAATGCGACACCAACATTGAGGAACACTTCCGCCGCAGTCTTGGGAAAAACTACAAGGAAGCTGAGGCTGTGTCCAATTCAGTTTCTATCACGGGTTCTGTGGATGATCACTTTGCGAAGGCGCTGGGAGACGCCTGGCTTCAAATACAGGCCAGAGGTAGCAGCCACCAGTCTCCAGAGGACGACCCATAAGAGGGGGGGAAGGATTGAAAGGGATCATTTTATTGTTCTCTCTTCTTGCCAAGAATCAACTTCTCTTAGCCAGGAACAGTACAGTGTAAGACGTGTGGCGCTCACATATGTGGGTGCTCTTTGGACCTCAAAGTCAATCTTGTAGAACACGCGGCTCAGTTTTGTCTCTTAAAATTGGTAAGTTTCACCCACAAAGAAGAAACAAAATTTTGAGTCGTTTGATTGTTGTGGGAAAATTATTAATCACACTGAAAGTTTCTGAACATAGATTCCCAAAGTTGTCAGTTGCCGGCATAACAACAGGTTTTTCACCTGCCTGTCATCTGATTTGATAGCCAAAGACCTTTCCAGCCTTTTTCCACCAGCCTGTAAGCCAGGAGTGTCAACATCCAGTCCTCGAGGGCCGGTGTCCTGCAACTTTTAGATGTGCCTCTGCTGCATCACACCTGAATAGAATAGTTGGGTGATTAGCAAGGCTCTGGAGAACTGATCTACACAAGGAGGAGGTAATTAAGCCATTTCATTCCTGTGTTTTGTATCTGTGGCACCTCGAAAAACTGCAGGACAGTGGTCCTCGAGGACTGGAGTTTGACACCCCTGCTGTAAGCCATATTATCTGTTCTTTCATTGCCACTCTAAGATCACACTGCTTTTCAATCAATATTACTTGAAAATGACAGCTATGTCTCTTGCACTATTATGTTCTTGACCTCTGGTGTCACAGGTTACCTGTTGGAAGTAATGTGCAAAAATGCGTTTTGAGATTTATATGAGAAAAATTACTGCCTTGGCCTTGTTGCTTTCAGAAAACACTAGATCAAACTGTTATTTTTATGATGGTGAACTGGACTTACTCACTGTTTAATAACTTTAGTTTGCTTACACATTCACTAAATCTGATTACATATTTCCACTAACATCAATCATAGTAGAACTTTAACTAGAAAGCATGATTCTGATAGCTGGTTTCTATTACAAACTTTATCCTTATACTATGTATTTAGCCAGATTTTATTTTTATCTGTGATATTTTAGAAATAGTCACTGCTGGTACAGTTGTACTCTGTATGTTTTTGTATCTGGTTTTCATGACTCTATTTAGGTGCATAGCTTGGCATCCATCAACAAATCGCAGCCTCTGGCAAGGCTGTCTGCAGTTTTACCAGCTGCATTATTGTTACTCTGCGGAGCTGGATGTTGTAGCTTAACACATGACTGAATTATGGCTAAATCTCCTCTGTATTATAGTTGATAAGCAGTGACTTTATTTATTCTCAACATGTTGATTTTTGTTGTGAAACTTTTGCTTTGGAGAGGATTCCTAAACTACTTCATTAACAAAGAAGTTGATTTTCGGTTTGTTATTAATATAAGACAGAAGTTGCATTGAACATTCCACCAATGCTGCTGATCTTTAGGAGTCACATCAGTTGCTTAGCTGGTACTGTTACAACATTGTGTGTTTGTTTTTTGTTTTCCCCTAAATCTAAATAGCTGTCTACTGTTTCCAAATGTTTTATTTCATGATGGCTTAATAGAGTGCCACGTTTCTGATAGTTGTTTCATTTCTAGATTCGAAAACTTGTTGACTTTGAAAGGTCTTCCAACTTTTTAATTCTTTGTTTTATCAAAATCAGAAATTTTAATGTCTTGCAGTGGAATTCAACTTCCACGTTGACAACCGTCCACGTTGTGTTGAACTGCAAACAAAAATGTTTAAATGGGATTTTACCTGACAGGTGAACACAATGTTTCACATAATTATGATGTAGAGGAAGGATGATGCAAAATCTTCAACAGTTTTTACCAATATGTCCTGTGCCTTCCTGATAATTTATAAAAAGTCTGGTCTGGGTTATTGTAACAATTGTACTTTGATCTAAATGTTTCCATTACATCAATGTTTGTGGCACTAATGTGACAAATTTGGGGGGGATTATGATACTTTTTTTTATGACACTACATGCGATAGTGACATTTTTTATAACATTTGGTATTCTAAGGTTCTTTTATAACACCCTTGGTTTTATTAATATACATTTTTTTAAATAAACAATGTAATCTTTTCTACTTTATTTTACACACCCAGGACCATCGTTGCGCGGTGCGGAATGATCAGTGTTTGGTTTCCTTTCAGCGTCATCTACTTACGCTGAAGTAGATGATGCTTCTACAATGTAGAATGACGCAATGCAGCTTGTCTTCTTAAATTTTCCGTACGTGCAGAAACAGTTTTCTGACATTGACGCTTCCTTTGTGTAGACTTCTGTAACGGGTTGGAGTTTAAGCTTTCTGTATGTATTTGTAGAAGTGAGTGATTTATGGGATCTGCTTGTTTGAGACAAGTAAAAGTTTCACTAATGTATTTGCCGGTTTTAGGCCTATATTTAATTTTTTTTTTTTTTTAGAGTACCTGCGTCTTTAAGACTGTATAAAGTTCTGGTTTTAGGAGTCATCCTGGTAGAAAAATATAAAGGGTTTTTCCATCTTTATTTCTCTGGAAGAAAACACTTTTTGTACTTAAATATTTTCAAAATAAACTTATAATGGCTACATTTGCATGTTTTTGTTGTCCATTTTTCCTACAAATTTTTAACAGAAGAAGAAGGAAGTCTGAACCTTAGCATCTACCATGATATTCTTGGCTATTGTAACTGAAAAGAGCAATTCACTAATATTTTAGGAGACATTTCTAAATTGGTTTTGCAGCAGTTTTACATATTGCTTCAATAAACGCCTTCCTGTCTGCCTGCTGATCCTAAATGTTACCTGCTAAATTCTGCCCAGGTGGGTGAGTTTCAAGCCAATCGGTTGCCCGGCAACCTCTGACAAAAAGTTGCATGGCTGATTTGGAGCATTTGCAGTGATGTTTCAAGAGCAAGTCAAACACAAACTGCTCTCACCTCGTCTTCGCACTCGTGTCCCGGCGGGCGTTGTTTGAAAGTTTCTGCGATCCACAGACGTGCTTTTCCACAGCATAACAGTCCTGTTGACATGGAGGCTTTGTAGCAACTGTTTATTTAATGTCTTTCTATTTTCTACTTACTGACCATGTGTGTGCAATACATTCTGCAGCCAGGCTGGCTTATTCTCCACAAGCAGCTGCCATTTTCCCCTGGATGTCAATTGCAGTCTCTCTGTTTGTTTGGTGCCATGGTAACTGACATTTACAAATCTGCAAGTGTGACACGATAAAAATGTGATTAATATTCTTCTTCCCCCCCCTTCTTCTTTTTTGCAAATAGCACTTTTTTATGACGATATATAATTGAAATACCATAACACTAAACAGCTGAGTACTATTGGCTTTATGTTTTTCCTCCCCTGACCAGCAGATGGCACTATTATGCTTCTCTTGAAGCGCTATAAAACTCCTGAATCTCTGGAGACCAAACAAAGAGGATCATCATCCCCAGACAATTGGAGTGGATGCTGCATGCCTTTGATATGTCTTTTTGTGTACTAAATATTTCCTTTTGATACAGTAAATATCAAATGGGTTAAAAGAGATATTGTGACATCAATTTAACATAGAACATGTAAAGATATTTTGCATAGTTTTCTTACGATGTTTTTAAACACTATTTTAGATTATTATGTCATTTATGGAACTAGACCATGCTTAATTTAGCTTTCCAAATACAAAATATCTGCAATATTAAGAAATGCATATATTTCAAGCAAATGACAACAGTCAATTCTTTGCATTTGAAAATGATTTTTTCTTTTTCTGCTTTCGACCCTTGTTCTCAAATCTGCTGGAAAGCTCCTAAAAATGTCCACTGCCTCCACAAGATTAGATGCCGCCATTCAGCAAATACAATAACCACCAATGTTGCTGCCATGCCTTCCACGGATGCCTGTTCTTGTGGGTTTACGGAGAGGAAATCTACATTTTTCTAGTTCACGTAAAAACAAAAATATGAAAGCAACCCCTTAATATTCCTGTATAGACACACTCGACGCAGGCACGCAAATATCAGACCACATCGGTAGCCGACATGAGGCGAGTGTCTTAATCAAGATGACACTTCAGGGTCATGCCAAATTCGGCTTGGCCTCTTCAATGTGTGAAGGCCACAAGGAGCATGACATCTGTGCTTGAAATGGAGGCCAGGTCTCTCGGCCGCTGCCTTGTGTTATTTCCCCAACTGGACAGACTCTGCTGCTTTGAGACACACAGTCAGGACACACATATGTCAAATAGTGTGCTCCGTCGCCTTTGTAAAAGAACTGAACCAATGAGAAGAGCTTAACACGGTGCACTGTGGCCATGGTATGGCGTATAAATGAATCCAGTAGGATAACTGCATGGTTCCACTGCAGGCTAAATAGAAAAAGTGTCTGTTACAGTGTCACACATGTTGACTCACGTCCTCTGTACATACTGTCCTGCTCAAACGCCTGATAGAGATCTCAGTCATTCGTTTGCATAATTCCAAATTTGTTGTGCCTGAGCAGAGTCCAGGGCTGCACCCCTATCCACAGCATCTATGAGTGCACTATATGTCTGGGGAATTTGCATGATTGCCTGTAGATTATATGAACATTGCCACCTCCCCCTCTTCCTCCTCCTCTTCCTTTTTTTTTTCCAGTTTTTTTTAATTTTTATTTTTTTTGTGGCTCTTCGCTGTGAGGATGCACACACATCCTTGGGCAAAAGAATCTAAAATAGATCATACGAGCAACTGGAGTAGATGCACAGGCACAGGAAGCAGCTCACGGGCAGACTTGAGTCATGCTGGCAAGATCATGCACCCTGAGCTGACAGCCCAACACACCCGATTACCAATCACGTCATTTGCAAAATGCAGCAGCAGCCGTACGATATGTCGTAAATAAATAGAAGAAAATGTTGAGAAGCCACGCAGATTTTCCTTCATAAAGGGCTTCTTAGCAATGTCAGGATCTAAGGGGAGGGCCGGCCGCCTGTGCTTCAAGACGGACCTGATGAACATCTCCGGCTCACGGAGCAGTGGCTCATTCAATGTGTCATGTGGACTGCTGGCAATGGCATAACCTTTGCAGAGGGAAGGGAAGACAACACGGTCACTCTGGATAACAGTCTCGCAATGAACAAAAACAGACCCTGTCAGGCCGTCTCAGCATCAGTTTTAGGCTGCACACCACTGCGAACACAACCTACCAATCGCTCTTTGCCTTTTCCTCAATCCTCCCTCCTATCAGTTGGTACGGCTCCTTCTCCTATAAGCCATGCTCTTGATTTGTCGGGGAAACTAATAATACCCCTCTACTTTACTTTCTTGTGCACTATGTGCTGCCTCAGCTCCATGTTTGACCCGCTTTGTTGGGAACATTTGGCCTGCTGCATCACCGTATGGTGCTTGACACAGCCAGTGATTTCTGAGATTTGGTTGGCATCGGCGGTACAGTGTTATCTATTATTGATTTGTAATGATTGATTTAAAGAGCCATCTGCTGCAAAAGCATGCTACTTCTAATTTCTGCAAGAGAAAAAATCAAAAAATCAAATGAGGTACGAAATGTCCATAGAAAAGCATAAATACACAAGTAGCAAACATTTGTGAAGGGCCTTTAATCAACTGTAGATGGACAGGAAAAGGGGCAAAAAGAAAAGAGGAAGACAAGCAGCAAATGGCCTGGGGCCGGGAATTGAATTGAGGACAATTGAATTGAGGACCATATTCTCTGTTTATGGTGCACCTGCTCTACCTCTGAGCCATGTGGTGGACCCCCTGGTGCCCAGTTAAATACATTGAACTTTGTGTTTGTCAAATGCAGAAAAACGTTCAATGGATATGAAAACCTTTCAAGATACTGTATTAATTAATGATAAGCTAAAAATTCTCAAATGCTGCTATTCCCCCCCCTACAGGGTCAAGACTCCATGTAATCATTTAGATTTCCTCGTTTAACATCAGGCGAAGATGATGTGCGTTGAGACGGCGTGTTTTGGGCAGCGAACAGCAGATGGATGTTTGAACCATTACTAAGGGGCATTCTCATGTCTCATTATGAGGCTTGTTAAGGCCCACATTACAGCTGCTTGACTGGGCAGCCTTAATAAGGAAAGTGACCCAACACCAACATGAGCGGCAGCATTTTACCTTTCACTGCCATCTATTTGCTCCCTTCGTGGCCTTATCACTTTCTCTTGCCGGTCTTCTTCCCCCCTTTTTTTGTCACAGCACCATCCTTTCCCCCTCAACTCTTCCACCACAGCCACCACCGCTACTACGACATCTCCCCCCGTTGTGTGTTTGGCAGTCACACAGTTGGCCATGTGTGTGCTGAAGACGTTACATAATGCCCTCCTTTCACTGCACTCCAGATCAAAGAGAACAATCCAGCACAGAGAAATAGCTCCTTGCTGATTTTTCCTCTCTTCAGCCCTTACATTGTTTTTTCAGACTTCTGTGTAGTACAGTGCATTATAACCAGCTCCAGGATTCCTGTAGAAAACCAATCAAAGAGGCAAGGAAAGAAGAAAAAGTAAGGAGACAAAAAAGTGGGGGGAAAAAAGCCCCAGATTAGGCTGGGTAGGTAATACTTTGTCAGAATTAACATAACATAAAGAGATTTGTTGATTTTTTGTTTTTAACTGCCTCAAGAAATTGGCGTAACTTTTCAAATCTAATCTACTTTGCACTTCCTCCATCTTAAACCTGATGCAACTCTGTTGAAAACATCGCTCCAGAAGCATTTCCGCTCAAAGTCTCTTTCCTTGTTATGAAACGTTTAACCGCACATGATCACACGCAGACTGAAAGGAGAACAGGCCAACGACAAGAAGCTCTTTTTCATCCTGAAACAAAAAGAAAAAAGCGACGCAGAGAGGGAGAGGAAGGGAGAGCAAGACTGCATTAAATGCTGTCAACGAGGCTCGGCCTGTCCACATCCTCGTGAGCATTGAGATAACGAGGCTGTGCTGAGGGGACGTTTACCGTCCATAACAAATTGTACACAGCACTTTGTAAGACCAGAGGCTGCAGCTGTTAAACTGCAACTAAAAAGATGATGTGCTTTAAATACATGGTAGATTTACATTCTCTAAAACAAGGTTTTGTCCTATGATGGATTCAGCAAATTTGAATATCAGACCAATATAACATGACATGTTTCCAATCCTGAAACTGGTCGTGGCACAATTAGTATTGCAGTGGACAGGTTTTAGTTCTGAGAAGAGTTGTTTGGATTCAGCCATGGTGCAGGGATTTTGATGCAAACAGACTGTTCACTGCATTTTAATCAGATTCAAGTCCAGATTTTGAATAGGCCACTCCAAAACCTTAATTTTATTTATTTGTCTGTTGATTCATTCAGGTGTAGATAGGCTGATTTGCTTCAGAAAATAATACTGCTGCATAATCCAAGTGTACTTGAGCCTAAAGTCACATAGTACTAATTGGACTTTCTCCTTCATTCCTCCATTGATTAAGGAAAGTTGCCCAGGTCCTGAAGCAGTAAAACAGTGCAGCCCTTGTTTCATGTTCTTTACTAATCTAGCCATTGTTTTCCAATGCAATACTGCTTAATTCTCATCTCCCTTCAGTGCTCTGTCTGAGTTTTCTTCCACTGA